CGTTTGTCATTCAAATAATCGTTTAGTGTGTAATATAATAGATTTTGTTCAATAAGTGTTATTAATAACAGTTTCAAATTTAATAATTAACTAATTCTGCCTCCGATAAAATTGTTTATAACTACTCTTCTCCATCCAAAGGTTGCCTGGAAGAGATCGCTCTTAGCGATAAGGTCTCCCATTGTTTTCTCATTGTGATTATTGCAATTAAAATTAAAAAAAAATCAGATCGATTTTTTATAAATTTGAATTTGGAACTATTTCTTTTGATATATAAATCTACATATTATGTTCGTATTGGTTACAAATTAATATACATTTATTATTTAAAATTACGGCCCTTTTTAATGATTTTTAAAACAAAAACACACATGGATAAAAAAGTTTACCTGTGTTGAAGCATTTGTATGGAGACAATCTATCTATATAATGTAATATTACAAAGATATTTACATCTGTTTGTTTGTTACTTAATCATGTTTAAAATGGCTGAAGAGATTTAAATGAAATTTAACAAATAAGATACTGTTTACAGGTGTAAAACCCAGTAAATATAGCTAGTTTTACCCAAATTAAACAAATCTGTGATCCACCCATGGCCTGTGGCCCCCGGTCGCCACAGACGTTTGTATTACCAATCAGTAATATATATGCGCATAATTATTTGATGTTTCACTTCAATTCTTAAACGACTTCCGAAAGAATTCTTAATTTTTTTTTTAATCGACTTCAAGAAAGGAGGTTACATGTTCGTCTGTATATTTTTTTAGATATTTGGCATCGACTTCAAACACATTTTGTTCTTTAAAATTTGATATCCGTTTATTTTTCGCTTTTTGTTTCATCTTTTTCTATTGTTTAAGTTTTTTTTAAAAAGTTTGTCTATTTACACTTCTTTCTGCAATAAATAGTGTTGGCCCCGTTTTATTTTTGTGGCTAATTCAGATTTAATTTAAACATGCAGATTTTAATAACTAAAAAAAAAGACAATGTATTTTTATGAGTATTAAATAACTTTAAACATTCACAAAGTAACTAAAAGTAGCAGAGGAAGGAAGGAAGGAACGGTATAGACAACAGTCATAAAGAGTACTGCCGACATATTAATTGTCTATGCCACAGATAATGTTAATTATTGTATTAAATTGCATAGGTAATCAATAGTGGCAATCGAAACTGCTAGTTTTTTGTAAAATTTATGTAAAATTTATATGTAAACATGACATTTTACGTCCTAAATTCTAATTTTTAATGCATCTTGTCAACATGACATTTTCTGTTCTAAATTCATATTTTTAATGTCTTGTCAACATGACATATTGCGTTCTAAATTTATATTTTCACTGTATCTTGTAAACAAGACATTTAACGTTCTAAATTTATATTTTCAATGTATTTTGTAGTCATGACATTTTGCGTTCTAAATTCATATTTTCAATGTATTTTGTAAACATGACATTTTACGTTCTAAAATTATATTTTTAACGTGTCTTGTCAACATGACATTCTGCGTTCTAAATTCATATTTTTAACATATCTTGTCAACATGACATATTGCGTTCTAAATTCATATTTTCACTGTATCTTGTAAACAAGACATTTAACGTTCTAAATTCATATTTTTAATGCGTCTTGTCAACATGACATTTTGTGTTCTAAATTCATATTTTTAATGTCTTGTCAACATGACATTTAACGTTCTAAATTCATATTTTTAATGCGTCTTGTCAACATGACATTTTGTGTTCTAAATTCATATTTTTAATGTCTTGTCAACATGACATTTAACGTTCTAAATTCATATTTTTAACGTATCTTGTCAACATGATATTTTGAGTTCTAAATTCAAATATTTTTAATACATCCTGTAAACATGAGATTTTGCGTTCTAAATTCAAATATTTCCAATATATCCTGTAGACATGAAATATTTAGTTCTAAATTCAAATACTTTCAAAGTATTTCGTAAACGTGAGATTTCTAAATTTAAATATTTACCTATTGGCGTCTTAACGGCTCAACCAATCGTCATAAAATTAGGTATATATATATATATATACACACCGTATCCACGTGACTGGAATATATTGATTGACCGAAATAAAAAAAAAAGTAGTTTATGTTCTATGTCTACTTCACTCCAAATACTACGTGTATATCAAATATCATAATTGTTTAAGCGCCAAGTGATAACAAACAGACAAACAAACAGACGCTAATAATATATAGGCGTCAGGAGGTAGATACATAAAGTATCATTTCTGTTTACGATATGACCTAACTATATGTGTATTAAATTTCATTCAAATCCATTCGGCCTTTACCAGAGGGAGACTTTGTACAAAAGTCATTTGCTTGGGCACCTCTGTCCCATTCGTGTTTCTACCGTGAAGCAGTTGTGTTTGCATGGTTGTGTTTCGGTTTGAATGGGATCTGGCAGTGAATTTACAGGGTACAAAGCAATACCACCCGAGTCTTGCTGAGTAAGCGTAAAAAATGTGTTTATTTACGACATCACATTAGAAACCTCTAAAATTATTAGTGTTTCTCTACAATATTATGCATGTATTATATATATAAACCTTCCTCTTGAATCACTCTATCTATTAAAAAAACCGCATCAAAATCCGTTGCGTAGTTTTAAAGATCTAAGCAAACATAGGGACAGACAGACGGGAATCGACTTTGTTTTATACTATGTAGTGAAGGAATGATTAATTTATAAATGACATAAATAAAAACTGTATTGTAAAATAATTTTAAAACCTCTGTTGATAATGTTTTCGACACAATGTACATTGTAATAAAATAAAATAATTGAAACGAAAAAAAATTAATGAATAATACAATTGAATATAAATGGATCGGGTAGGGGGGGGGAGGAGATATTGTTAGTAATGATGACTAAGAGCTCCATTTGCTAGCAATATATTCAACCAGGTCGACCTCCCCGTGGTCCCCCCTGGAAACCATCGTGCTGAATTCCAAGTGTATTCGTCACGATGGGCTAACTGACCTGCCTTTTTTCATTTTCACCTATCATCTCTCACTGATGCTCCGCCAGCGTATACGCATAGCGCAGGCGGGGTTACCATTCCATTATCATCCATTAAAAAAATATAAGTGGATTCAGCAGAAAAAAAAACAATAATAAACTTATAGCTAGATGCAAATATCCAAACAAAATGGTTAAAATTTAAATTCACGTAGAATATAATTACCATAATTTATTTAATAGCGTGAAAATTATTTAGAAGTAAATCTATTTATAGATAGAGAGAGAGAGATCACGCGCGATCTAAACGTGTCTAAACTGGTAACTACAGTTTTTTTATAGAAAAAAAAAAGAAAGTACGCAGTACGCGGTACGATACATCGGTCGTTAGATATTTAATTACTAGCTTTTCCCAACGACTTCGTCGGTGTGACTATGATATGTTCAGTGACCGAGTGTATACCAAGTTTTTTTTTTATGGATGATAATGGATTTTCTTTATAGAACTTAGAATGGCAAACAAGCTGACGGCCCACCTGATGGAAAGTGGTAACCGTCGCCTATAGACATGAGCAGTGCCATGGACATAACAGAGTATACTGTTTCGCCCATGACACTCCCAAGCGTTGCCATTCCTGAGGACTCAGGTGTTATTCCTCTGTACCCTGTAAATTGCCGCCATATCCCACCCTTCAAACCGAAACATAGCCATGCAAATACAACTGCTTTATGGTTGAAACACGAATGGGACAGAGGTGCCGAAGCAAATGACTTTTGTCCAAAGTCTACCTCTGGTAAACTATAATAATAATTAAGTGTACACTGTCGTGGCACCAGTGAGTGATGATAGAAGAGAATGAAAGCAGGTCAGTTGGCCCATCGTGACGAATACAAGAATAAATCACGACGGTTTTGGGAAACCGCGTGGAGGTCAGCCAGACAGGGAATACTGCTGGCTATGACGTTATTTAACCCCGTCACTAACAATCCCTTTCCCCTACAGGTGTCCATTGGAAGTACAAATGTAAAATCTTTAAATTTGGCATTATTTAGAGAGACTTTCCCATTCGTGTTATATATTTATGCAATATACCTAGACTTTTTGAAAACAGCAGACTGTCTTATGATCGAGTCTGTTAATGGATTGTTTATATTATTATTACGTTTTATTGTAACAAATTATAATTTTCCCGCCAAACAGGTCACGACAATGAAACGAATATAAGCTAATGATATTATTTATTAACTGAGGGAGAGTTTGTACAAAAGTCGTTTGCTTGGTGTCCCATTCGTGTTTCTACCGTGAAGCAGTTGTGTTTGCATGGCTGTTTTTCAGTTTAAAATGTGGGATATGGCAGTGAATTTACAGGGCACAGAGGAATAACACCTGAGTTCTCAGGAATGGCAACGCATGGGGGGTATCATGGGCAAAACAGTATACTCTGTTATGTCCATAATACTGTTCATGTCTATAGGCGACGGTTACCACTTTACATCAGGTGGGCAGTCGGCTTGTTTGCCATTCTAAGTTGTATAGAAAAACTTACATAAAAGTTAATTATGACCACGATTATGGATGGAAACAGTAGAAATCTCTATTTAGTAGTAAATGTAGTCTACCAGTATGTCTACATTCCCACCAGGCGTTAACTGTCCACTGCTCAACATATGCCTCCCTCATAAGGAATGTTTTGCCAGTAGTTGCCACGCTTGGCAACCGCAGTGAGGATTTGTAATTGTGATCTATTTTTGGTAACATAGTGTTTTTATTTTTTTAGAAAAAAAATTTGACAACCACATTAATAGATTCAAACATTTGTTTTAAGGAATGTCATGTTTGTTAATTAACATGCTGTAAAGTTAAGTACCTAATTAAATAGGTAGTTAGTAGGTATTTGGCAAATTCCGTGGTGTAGGGGGAAAGGGATCGTTAGTAACAGCCTTATTGCTGTTAGATTCCCATGTTATTTATTTATTTATTTATTTACACATACACTAAACAAACCTTTCATTTCGGGGGGAAAGGGATTGTTAGTAATGGGGTCTAATGAACCCATTGCTAACAATACACTCTATCAGGTCGACCTCCACGTGGTTCCCCCTGGAAACCATCGTGAACAATTCAAAATTTTGGTAAAAACAATCAAAATTTGATATCCGGGAGAACGCGCCATATAAAAAAAGCCATAAAAAACCGTCTTTTTGCTAGCAATATACCTTGTCAGGTCGACTTACACGAGGTGAACCTAAACGGTCATTATTTTAATTGAATGATAATGGAATGGTAACCCCGCCTGCGCTATCGGTATACGCTGGCGGGGCACCAGTGAGGGATGATAGGTGAGAATGAAAAGGCAGGTCAGTTAGCCTATCGTGATGAATTCACTTGGACTAGAACACGATAGTTCCTAGGGGGAACTAGCGAGGAGGTCGACCTGACAGAGTGTATTACTAGCAATGGGGCTACTAATCCCCATTTTTAACAATCCGTTATCCCTCCAAACCGTCATGATTAATTTTTGAATACGTCATGATGGGCCAACTGACCTGCTTTCATCCTCACATATCTTCCCTCGCTGGTGCCCCGCCAGTGTATACCGGTAGCCGTCCAGCCGGTCCATTGTTATCTATAAAAAAAAACCTCCGTATCGCAGCGGTAGCTTTTTTTTTAATGGATGATAATGGAATGCTAACCCCGCCTGCGCTATCGGTATACACCGGCGGGGCACCAGTGAGAGATGATAGGTGAGGATGTAAGCAGGTCAGTTAGTCCATCGTGATGGATCCCATCTGGAATTCCACATGAAGGTTTCCAGGGGGGGCCACGGGTAGGTCGACCTGGCAGGGTAAATTGCTAATAATGAGATTGGTAGTACGCATTACAAACAACACCCCCCCCCCCCGTGCAGCGGTAGGAGCATTGCTTTGCGTAATAAGGTACCGGGTTCGATTCTAGGTCGGACCAAAGAAACGAGCTTTCCCGCATTGACTCGGATCTAGCTGTGCGTCCAGATATTTGTTGCCTGGTATATCAAATGCAGGATATCTTGGCTTGAGGACTAAGAGATTAATCGGATTGTTGTATCAGCCGGTAACTGTCCACTGCTGGACATAGCCTCCCCCATAAGGGGGGTTTTGCCAGTAGTTGTCAAACTTGGCAGGTGGGTTGGCAACCGCAGTTTGGCGATGATGTTTTAAGAGGGATAGTTCGGTTCCCTTAGTCGCTAATTATGACACCCACGGGAAAGGGAGACCTAGTCTACGTTGGGACCACACGGCTTGATTGATGTGAACGTACTGCACTTTTTTTTTATTATGTACTATCTACTTGGTATATACCTAATTGCTTAATTTTGTAATTTCTTTATAAAAAAAACCGCTAGATATTTTGTAATTAGTGTCAAAAAAGTAAACTTTATTGTTTACAAAATGAAACATTAAAATCGGTTCACAATTTAAGTGAAATGTAGCATACACAAAAACAATAAAAATATTCTTTTAGAAGCCGGTTAAAAAATATACTATTATATATATATGTAAAACTGAGTTCTGCCTATCCCTAAAAGAAAAAGTCGTGAGTATATAAAGAAAAAAATTAAGATAGTGTTTTTTACTCATAATATAAGAGACTTATAATTTGTTTTTAGACTTAATCGAATCCGTAAATATAAATCCATACATACATACAAATATCCGTCACGAACAGCGATTTTACGTTGAACGTGGAAAGCCATACATCTCTAGTAACCGTAACGTAATGAATTCGGCGACTCACCTTAAGTATTCAACTTATAGTAAAAATCCAATTAAACGCACAAATAAAAAAAAAACACAATTCCAAACACAACATACACTATTTCTGTCACAGCATAATGCGTACACGACCGCAGCCCTTAGATGTAATTTAGAAAAAAAAGTTTCGGCCACGCGGTCACGATTCGAAATTCGAATTGCAGAATGCAAAAGTTGTCGGACGAGTGTTGCGCGGATACACGTCACGCTAGCGCGACCACGCGTTCTAGACTGGACTGGACGGGCCGGCTTCGGCTCGCACGATAGCCAGATTAATCACCGATAATTTTTACCTGACTTTGCGGTGTGACGTGTTCAGGTGTGACGTAGTGTGACGTTAGATAACGACTGACGATTGTGAAATGTGAAAATAAATTATTATTTTTTTTATTACCTTTTTTTTTATCTCGAAGTAATAAATAGGTCAATGTCGCAATTGTACCGGTAATCAGATGGAACAAGACAGTTTTACGACCACTTCTATAGTCGTCTGTCTGATAGCTAAATTAATTACCAATAATTGTTACATGAGTTTATAATCTGACATGTTCAAGTGTGACATAGTGTCGTAGTGTGACGTTGATAATTGGCAAGTGTAAAATGTAAAAATTATTATTTTTTATCTCGAGAAAATAGGTCAATGTTATTGGCAGATGTATTGTTAATCTCTGTAATCGTCAATTCTTATCGAGAAAGTTCTATGAGCGCTTCAGTAGTCATAATATCAAATATTCGAAGTAATTCTCTTATTATTATGAATGCAAATGTTCGTAAGGATGGATGGATGGGTCTTTGTTACTCTTTCACGCAAAAAGTATTCCATGAATTTTAATAAGAATTTAATACATGGATAGGTTATAAGCATCTTAGTTTAATACATAGAATAATTTAATAGATAGAATAATTTATAGAAGCCGCGGAATGTAGCTAGATTTAAACTTTGTAGTGTGACGTGTTCAGGTGTGACATAATGTGACGTTGAAATTGGCGAATATGAAATGATTATACATTACACATATTTTCTTCACCTTAAGGTCAATGCCACAAATGTACCGGTGGAGACTGGCCAAGAAAGTTTTATGACCATTTCAATAGTCAACACTGAGATATTTAGATTAATCACTGATAATGTTTACTTTGTTGTGTGACATGTTCATGTGTGACGTAGCATGATGTTGATGATTCCCGAATGTGAAATGTATAAATAAGTTTGTATATTTTACATTTTATCTTGATGTAGTATATTGGTCAATGTTGGTCTGATCAAAAAAATTTAACCATTTACAGATTTTCACCAATAGATGTGTCTATTGGTGAAAATCTGTAAATGGTTAAATTTTACTAAATTGTAAAATAGTTAATAAATTTTTTATTTAGGCAAATTTAATTAATTAACAAAAATTACCTGCATATTAAAGACAAATATTTATTTATTTAAATTTTCATTATCATCATTACATATCATTATGTACATTTATACTTTATTGACCAATAAAAAGTGGACTTAATGTTAAAGACATCCTCTACCTTTAGGATGTGCAGAGATAATCGATGACAGTTTAAAAAAGTAAAATTATTTATTATTTATTTATATTTATACTAATAATATACTCATAAAGAAAGTTTAATCAGTTCAGGGTACGATAGGACTGATATACCTGAAGAAGGTAAAAGCCCTTTAAAAAAATAATAAAAAAAATAAAAATATGCACTTTCAGAATTAGTAACTTCAAAGATTCATCATCATCATCATCATATTAGCCTTAAACAGTCCACTGCTGAACATAAACCTCCCCCTTAGGGGTATTGCCATTAGTAACGATGCTTGGCAGGCGAATTGGCAACTGCAGTTATGTTTTTTGGGGGGTGTTTTAAGAGGAACGCTGTTACCTATCCCTCACCTTCTTTTAGTCGCCTCTTACGACACGAAAGGAAGGGGTGGCTTATTCTATGCTGGGGCCATACGGTCGGAATTAAGGGGAGGAGGAGATTGTTAGTAATGGGGTCTAACTGACCCATTGCTAACAATACACCCTGTCAGAGGGATGCTGCTGCCTTCTTAAAACAGCACAAAAGCGTAAGTGTGGTTGTGTTGTCAACTCGCCTGTCAAGCATAGCAACTAATGGTAATACCCCCACCTCCCTTATGGGGGAACCCTATGTTCAGTAGTGAAAAGTTGACGGCTGATGTAACGATGATGATGAAGTTATTGTGAGAATATTAGAGATAAATATACTAGTAAAGAAAGTTTGATGAAGAAGTACACTTTCAGGATTAACTACTTTCCTTCAAAGATTAGTAGCAATAAATACCAACTAGATAGTCAAAGATTTAATCCTGTATGAAATTAATAATTAACAAGTGCGTTGTTGCAAGTGTAATATGTAAATTCTCTGCAATACGCTAATAATAATGTGTTGAGATAGCAAATAGGTCAATATTACAGACAGATGTGTCGGTAGTCATAGACGGGCCAAGAAAGTTTTATAGCCACTAGCTTAGTCGTCTATATTTATGTTCAATTCAATCATAGATAACTGGGGGGAAAGGGATTGTTAGTAATGGAGACTGAGAATCCTATTGCTAGCAATATACCCAACCAGGTCGATCTCTTCGTGGTTCCCCCTGGAAACTATCATGGTTAATTCCTGATGAATTCATCACGACGGGCTAACTGGCCTGTTTTCATTCTCATCTATCACCCTTCACTGGTGTTCCGCCAGGGTATCCCGTTAGCGCAGGCGGGGTTACCATACCATTTTCACCCATAAACAATCATAGATAACTGTCCCTGAGTCTATGGTGTGATATGTTCAAGTGTGACATAGTGTGACATAGAATTTGACAAGGGTGAAATGTGTTAAATTTTATTTATTTATTTATTATTTTTGAGGGAAGCTTACAGCTGTCATAACTTAATGAATAAATATATATGTGAACATTAATATCTTGAGATAGTAAATAGGTCAATATTATAGCCAGATATATCTGTAGTCCAGCCAGTTATATGGTTTTGTCATTGTCAATTCAGACAATGACAATACCGTGTAGCTCAAGCAACCGATAATCGACGAGGATTTGGTTTGAAGGGTGGGATATGCCTTGAATTTACAGGGTACAGAGGAATAACACCTGAGTCCTCAGGAATGGCAACGCATGGGAGTATCATGGGCGAAACAGTACACTCTGTTATGTCCATGGTACTGCTCATGTCTATAGGGGACGGTTACCACTTTCCATTAGGTGGGCCGTCAGCTTGTTTGCCATTCTAAGTCGTATAAAAAAAAGAGGAAGAAAGGTCTTCGAATGGCGACTCCGTACAAACAAGTGTAATGCAGAACAACTTCCTCGCGGGATGGAATGACGATTTCAAGTGTGAGGCTATGAAACGTTGGATACAGGATTCACTAGAAGGAAACCTTGTATAAAAGTCGTCTGCTCGGGGGAAAGGGATTGTTAGCAATGGAGTTTGATAGCCCCATTGCTAGCAACATGCCCTATTAGGTCGACCCCCACGTGATTCGCTCCGGAAACCATCGTAAACAATTCTTGTTGAATTCATCTCGGTGGGCTAATTGACCTGCTTCACTCACTGCTCACCTATCATCTCACTGGTGCCCCGCCGGTGTATACCGATAGCGCGGGTGGGGTTACCATACCATTATTACCCATTAAAAAAAGTCGTCTGCTTGGGTACCTCTGTCCCATTAGTGTTTCTGAAACAGGTAGCCAAGCAGATGACTTTTGTACAAAGTCTCCCTCTGGTTTACAATAAGTACCGAGACTGTACACGTCTGTCTATATGTTAATCAATTTACGTGTTAACGTATAAGAGTTACTCATATTTAGCTCAGGAATCCGCACTTGTTCGCTTGAGTAAAGTAATTGTAGAATACTATGTATTTTTCTTATTTATGGTCTGAGTGTCGGAGCGACATGGCGGCACACTGTGTTTTTCAACCGTGAAGCAGTTGTATTTGCACGGCTGTGTTTCGGTTTGAAGGGTGGTGGGATATGGCGTGAATTTACTGGGTACAGAGGAATAACACCTGAGTCCTCAGGAATGGCAACGCGTGGGGGGTATCATGGGTGAAACAGTATACTCTGTTATGTCCATGGTACTGCTCATGTCTATAGGCGACGGTTACCATTTTCCATCAGGTGGGCCGTCAGCTTGTTTGCCATTCTAAGTTGTATAAAAAAAAAACACTGCAAAAGTAAGCTTAACTGACTTTAATTGTGATAAAATGAGTTTTTTGTTGCAAAACTTACCTACTGAATCGAATTTAATGAAATTTCTACAAGACTAGACTGTAAGTATATCAAATATGTATAGAAATTATATATAGAAAGTATAAGTAAATTATTGAATTATGAGGTAAGTAATATAAAAAACTTAAAGTAAACAAAGGTAAACCGACTTCAAAAAATTCAATTCCTCCTTTGCCTTGCCTCCTTAATTCGGTAGTAATTTTTTCCATTTGTCACCCTTAGATGTGTTTGCAAATAGTCCATTCGCATTCAGAGGTGGGCAGTGCACAATTCCTTAGCCCCCCCCCCCCCCCCTTATGTCTGTGCCTACAATACACTTTCAGCGTAATCACTCCATTGCTTTTCAATTATTTGAGATGATAATTTAAGAAATATTGATAAGGAGTAATTATGTAACAAAAAAAAAACCACTTTTTTATGTAAAAAAAAACAAAAAGATGACCTGTTTTTAGTGATGCATTTAGATAGATAGATAGATTATTTGCATTACAAACATACACATAATACAGACATACACAGTAAAAAGAGGTAAAAGAATGAAAAACAAAAAAGCAACAAAAAAAAAAAAAATATATATATATATATATATATATATATATATATATATATATAAAACAACAATTTCTTTCTTTCATGTGTGTGCCACAGTAACACAAAATGGTCACACACATTTTTGTATTGAAGACACTCTGTTTATATTATATAAGATTGCAAATTACATGTTTGCACATTTTAATATATTTTTGTTAAATACATATGTATTTATTTTGTAGCGTCTGTGGCTTTTTTTGTTGAACAAAATCACTTGTCTGCATGAATAGATTTGTCGTCGCGAACCAATGCGCGTGCGCATCGAAACGCGTTATTATTAGACGGATTTTGTACTCAGTGTCACAATTACTGTGACTATTAAAAGTGAACTCATTGATAGAACATAGAACCAGAGAGATAATATAGAATTTTTGTATTTTATGC